GGCTCACGTGATTTTGTCCATACTGTACGTAGACCAGAAAGTTGCGGAAACTTTTCAGGCCCGGAACCCCTAAATTACCCAAATGCCGTTCGGCGACACCCCCTTCCCTTTTTCCTCCTTTAGAGCAGTACGAAAGCCACCAGCGCCTGCGGAAAATATAGAGTTTAAGAGTACAGCCGGTGCCCCAATGCTTTGCGTCTCCCGAGGTGATGTCGCACTACGCATGCGCAGAGCTTTTGCGCCTGCGCATAGCGACGCCCCAGGCTCTTCGGAGGACGCAAAGCGTTGGGCCCCCTATTCTAAAGCCCTCTATTTTTGAGATGGGATATATACGCACCCGCAGGGTGCTTTTAATGAGTTAAGACACGCAAAAAATAAAATCTGCGATAACTATGTTGCTGAAACCCATTAGATGCCACTATAATTGTGCTAAATTTGTTTTATAAAAAAAAAGCGTTAAATCCGTCGATAAATTGGATTTAATCTGAGGAACCCGCGGATCCGCCAGTTTATGAAAGCCGCCGTGTTAGGAAGGTCACTAATGCAATCTGCCTCGTCTCTGGACTTATTTATTATCGGGCATATACAAGTTACACAAAAAAGTAATTAAGTTACTGATTATTGACCTCGAAATAGATTTGAGTAGAGTAGAAATTATTCAAATGGCAACCAATCGAGTAAATTAATACCTACCGTAAAAAAGTTGCGAATTACTTTTGAAGTTACTTTTATATTTTTTTTATGGTAACAACAAAGTACATAAATTTCGATCCGTTAGCGAAATTCTGCTGGCCAAATGAAAAGAAGCTTGTGTTTTCACAGAAATGCTTTAATAGCTGGTTCTGCTTCTGCGTGCCGAATTGTTTTGTACTTTTTTTGTTTTTTTGGTCAATGATGTACTGCGAATGTTTCATTTTAACTAGGCTTAGCACTTTCGGATTTGTTGACAGGAAAGGCAACGCGAAGAGAGAGAGGTCATTTTTGCATTGTCCTTGATCACGTGATTCTTCGAGTACAATACAAACATCCGACGCACCAGATGAGCTTCAGAGTGGATGCTGCATTTTGTTGTCTCCATTGAGTGAGGATGCAGTAGGTACACCTCCAGTAGTGGGCGAGAGTTCCTGCGTTGAGGAGAAGCCGGGACCAGACCTTTCTTCAAATGAATCAAGTCCCCGTGAGCTTCGGGGCTCAAAGAAACGCCAGTCTTCGACGCTAATCCTGCAGTTACTCGGCCTCACTGGCGACGTGTCCTTCCGCTAACCGCCGCAGTGCCCCCCCCCCCCCCCCCCCCCACCCCTTCCAGCCTATGCCGCATGCTTCCCCCTCATTGCAAATATCAGCTGATCTTTCAACATCTTATTTCTTTTTGTGCAGCAATTTGTGCTGACAAGCATTCCTACCACTAAAATTCGAAAGTAATCTGTGATTTGAGTAGAAGTTACTCAGAAAAAGTAATTAAAGTAAACTACTGATTACCGAAATAAAAATGTAATTGAAAGTTACTAAACTAGCGTGAAAAGTACTTAAACTAGAGTAACTTGAGTAGAATAGTTGAACCGCGTACAAGTTTGCTTATGATGCATATATCTGCCAATGTCCCTGGCGGCGCGGTGGCGCAACTCCGACCGTTCTCTTGCATGCACTCGCAGACTGTGCTCTCTCTTAAGGTGATTCTGCCGTAAGCTTCCTCGTTTTGCGCCCGCGTTTCGAGCCGATGGAATCAATGGCAGCGTTCCCGTAGTCTAAATCTTTTGGTTTGGCGGAATAGGGGCAAGGAGTTGCGTAACGAAACGGTAGTTGTGCTTCGGGTGCACTTCTGCTCTGGAGGTGTGGGCGGCAGTCCCCACGCGGCACGGGCATTCCTGGGTTGTTTTGTAAGAAATCAGACTAAAACTTGCCTTCCCGTTAAAACAGTGAGTCTGTAGCTGCATCAAAAGAGCCGGGAAAGCTCTGAAGATCACTTTTCATGTGTTGTCCGCCTGCTGGGTTTGTCTGACAAACTGTGGCGCTCCATTTTGGGTAGTGCAAGCTCACCTGATTGGGCCTCGCCCTACATAAGGCACGGTGGCTGGGCTTTTCTTTCTGTGTGGTGCTGAAGAACGGAAAAACACCTTTGGAGGTCGAAAATCGAAAAGCTGCATCAAAAGAGCCGGGAAAGCTGTGAAGATCACTTTTCATGTGTTGTCCGCCTGCTGGGTTTGTCTGACAAACTGTGGCGCTCCATTTTGGGTAGTACAACCTCACCTGATTGGGCCTCGCCCTACATAGGGCACGGTGGCTGGGCTTTTCTTTCTGTGTGGTGCTGAAGAACGGAAAAACACCTTTGGAGGTCAAAAATCGGTTAGATTCAACTCCGCAAAACAAGGGAAAGTGCAAGATTTATGCTCCCACCGCTAGGGCACGCGTCTCTTATTTTTGGGTGGTGACGCCAGAACATTTGGCGTCGCGCCACACCACCTAGGCTGTGTTCCAAAATTTACTCGATCCGAATTCGGAGTAAAGATTTCGACCCGTGGCGTTTCAAAACTTCTCGCGCTTACTCTATGACGTCAGAACTCGCGTTCCAGAAGCGGGTTGTTTACTCAAGAGTAATTACACACGCTACCCTCCTCGATCGGGGGGTAACGTCGGATCAAATCGAGTAAATATGTCACGTGATCTGTTCGCCTTCTCCTCGTCGTCTGCTTGCTGCGCCCACTGCCGTCAAAGCTCGTTTGCTCCGTTGGCTTTGGCGGCAGACGTTCGAAAGGTCAGAGGTTGAGGTGCAGTCATATATGTGTGGTTATTTCGATTCGCTGTTTCAAAGCAGGACTTGACTGTGCACCACTTCCGGACCATGCACCATTTATCAGAGTGCGAGCGTAACCAGGAGCTTCTACGCATCCTCGACCTCGGCGTTGGAGAAAACTCGTATTTGTAGGTTCAAGGCTGAAAATATTTGAATGCAATAAATGATGTGAAGCTTTTTGTTTAATTTTTTTCCGGAGTGTGTGCGCCTGTAAAGCAGTGAAGGCTTCGAAGCTTTTATGTAACTGACCAGTCAACGACCCCACCCCAGCTCCCTCCACCATAAATATATAGCGGTTTGGAAGTTCTCTCTGTGATCTTGTCTGGTAAAAGCAATTGTAAGTTACTTGTCACTGTTAAGAAATCCCCCTGCGCTGTGCCGCTACGCTGTGTGGAAGCGATTTCCACCAAACGTAATCGGTGCAAATTACGACGCCTGGAACGTTTGCGTTTAGGGCGCCTGGACTAGACTTAAAGCGATCACGCTGATTAATAAAAACAAATTTTGGATTTCTAACTAAAAGGAATAAGTGATTTTCATCTCAATGTACAGGCCAAAAGGAAGGCGAACAAAAGGACTTGATGGAGCCACCTCAGAAAACACAGCATCATCAGTGTCAAAGAAAAACTTCACAGCGGTTAATGTTATCGTCTCTTCGAGTGTTTTCTCCACCATCAAAAGAGATTGTCTTCTATTTTCTGCCATCGCTGCGATGTTTTCTTTGTGCTCTAGCCCAAGATGAAGCCAATCCGAGTAGTATCGTTTAGTCGCGATGTCAAGTAGTATTACCTGCTGATGTAGGAGACAGGTTACTTGGGTAAGATTTGGAACACTGCCCTAGAGTTACTCAATAATCTCCCCCGAAGGGATAGAGTAGAGTTGCGCATTTGGTTTCTCCAAGCCGCTACGCCCTTATTCACCGAGATCGATCACGTGAGGAGCAAAGCATCCAGTGCCGTGTAAAAACGCAACCGCTACGGTCGCTCTGCCGACGTTGCACGCGCCCCGCCATATGTTCCCCTGCTTCCGCCTCCTTCTCCTCCTTTTTTTGTTTTCCATGCGCCGCAACGCCGCTAATCGCCCGATTTCAGTCACGTGATGAGCAAAGCATCCAGGGCTGTGCAGGAAAGCCGGCGCTACGGCCACCTGCCGAAGCTGAATGAGCAACTCTGCTACCGTTTCACGATAACTCAGTGAACTGTGGAGGCTACGGCCCTTTCGACCCAATAAGAGCGTCTGAGCGAAATACGTGGCACCACGTCACGGGAGCGTGTGTGTAACAGAGCCGAGGAACTGATTGTTGTCTGCTGCGAAACCAACCAACTTCGAATGGACGTCCACCGCCTCAACTTATTGCTCTCCGCTAGAGCAGCGAGTTCTTCGGGAACATTTCATGGGACAACCATACGCCCACTTTACCCGCGAATCTGTGGTGGGTGCTAATGCCAGGGCGTTCTTTTGAGCGGTAGCGGCCGATTACACGGCTGAGATCAACAACGGTCACGGCGCTACAAAATGAAAAAAATGGGGAGCGGATACGAATGTGGTCTCACTTTTTTGGTTCTCCCTTTCTATTAAGTGTCATTTCCCGAAAGAAACAAAGGAAAAAGGAGTGTGCGTCCTTCGTGTTTCCGGATTTCACCGCTAGGGCTTTCTTTGGTGCTGCCTGACAGGCCCCCGGAGAGCGCCCTCTTCCCTGATATCCTTTCCCCTTTAGAGCTGTCACGTTCTTTCGCGATTTGACAGGCTTTCTAGAATAAACTAGGCTACTGCAGAACATGTGGATATACCAATTCAATACCACTCAATCTTTTGGCACCTCTGAAAACGAGACAAAATGAAGCTGTAAGATCATAGTTTATGAAATGTTTATTTACGTCAAACCAGGTCTATCAATTATCATTGACAGCTTAAGGAACGCAGGGCGTGGCGAGTCACGATCCTCTTATTGCACCGCAGCCAATGAAGTTGCGACATTAGCCGATATTTACGCCAAAACAACCAATCATTGAACACCAGACACAATAAGCCACTCCCATGTTTCTTAAGCTCTCGAAGACTATACAGCTAAACAAGTGCACGTTTCGCGACGTTTTTGTCTGTTCCGCCGTATTGCAACGTTTCTCGGGGTACGAAAAGAAAGATTTTTTTCTTTGTGTGCATTCTGTGCTGACGTTCGAAAATGGAAGAAGAGGAGATCCAACAAAAACCTGAGTTCCAGATTTTTTTTTATTATTATTATTCTCTTTCAACGACACAAATATTTCGAGCCCCGAGCTTTCACTTCTTCTCTATCAGCACCGTCACGGATGCATCTGCGGTCTTTTCAGGAGATCGGAGTAGTACTGTTGGTGGACAACCATCTCGGGCCGGAGTTGATCGACGGAAGAACAGCCTGCGCGGCACAATAAAAAAAAAAAAAAAGTTGATAGACCTAAGCCGTAGCCACGCAGGCTCATATACAACATGCAAAAGACACGGCGTTAGCTGCACACATGATGACGTCATCTTCTGCAGGCACGCCTCAAGCTTCTGCATACAGTGTTTGTATGACTAATGTGACGTCACACAAGGAAGGCCTCAAACAGTGTCTTCAGAATGTCTTTTGTTGGATGTACTTTCAGTGTGACCGCGGCCTTAGAGGATCATATGAAACTCATTTTTATTATCATTAAACACATAAACAATGACCTGTTCGCCCTCACCACTGCTCATGCGCGGCCAATCGATTTTCTGGAAAGTGAAACATTGGCGCATGTTTTGTTCGACAGCCTACGCTAATAACACGAAACTGCTTTAAAAAAAAATCGACTTAAATTGCAATTTTATGCTAATGCTTTTACAGTCATATTTCCGTGCTTCCTCTCTTTCACTGGCCAGTTTTACATTGCCCTTGCACCGACTTGTCTCCCTGCGCAACTTAGGAGAGGGGAGCTCTAGGACGATTATCTTCTCTGCAGAAAACCGAGGTTGTACGTCGGTCTTTAAGCAAATGCTATGAGCAGGGTTCAGGCAGCGTATATGGTACGCTGTGATTCGTTTCAAGCTTGGTTCTGTCTTTCTCTCATTGCAGCCCCGCCCTCATCACGTTTGAGAGTTCGAGTGACTGACAGCCAGCCTTGTACACGTTACCCGAAAAACGTAATCGAGTACAATAGACCCTTTCCGAAGTTGAGTGCCATCTGGCGGCTGAAATGGCGGTTTAGTTCTTGCCGTATTGAATGGCGGCAATGAACTTGTAGCCCGCAGTATTTTATCGCGCACCGTCACTTTCGCAAGTCAACGGCGCACAATTAGTTCTCTATCATCTCTTTCAGTGTCGATGCAACCAGTCAGAACGAAGCGCCATCTCAGATAGATGCCTCTATAAAGTTCTATATATGAAGGAGCTTTCAAGTGGGTTCTCGGCTACTAACAGATTGACTGAGCCCGATTTATAGAAATGAACGCCTACGCAGCTCTTTCATTCAATTCCTGCTTCGCAACGTGCTAAAGTTTCGAATGTACAGGCCTCGAATCCACAGCCTTAGAAGTATCTTCCTCTTGTTCCTTCATGAGTAAACAGAAGGCCGCCATTAGTACGGCACATATCCCATTTTTCAGATGATGATAGTGGTCAAAGTGGCCAGACTGAATTTCGGAAATGGTCTATCAATTATTCTTGCTTAAAAAACTACGTAATTAGATCACTCGATTACTTGAGACAAAAAAAAAATAGTTGGCCATTACTTGAAAAAAAAGTAACCGGTACTTCTCCATTTACTTCGGATCTTCGAAACGACAGAGTTTTCTGCAGCTTTGAAATCGGGTCTTTATTGTTCTCCAGTTGTGAATTAAAATCAACGAACTATAAACTCCTTATTTTCTTAATCCACCAATCTTGGTAAAATATCCTGCGGTCGGGGATTTGGTCCGGGAATTCCACGGTAGGAACTTTGTACGAATAAAGGACGTCAAGAAACGGAAGGGGGAATATACCAGTTACGAGAAATTTTATTACATTCAAAAATAATAAGATTACTCTCGCGATCACTTTACCAGAAATGTAATCAAATTATTACAAAATTACTCTAAAAGTAATCGATTACAAGTTATGCAGTTTGTTAACCAGTAATGAGTACTGAGCATTTGCTGATTGCACAGAATCCCCACTACTTTAGAAATCTTCGCTATAAGATACTGTAAACTAATCTATGGGCCCTTAGAATGCTGAACACAAATGCGTTTTAGGTACCTAATATAAAATATACCATGAAAAACAAATTTTTAAATCAGTTTAAAAAGTATGGAAATAGTCTATAACTTATAACGTATAGACCTTAATATCTTTCTGCAGGTATCGTGTTTACAGATTCAATGTCTCACCACGGCGGCGGGGAGAGAAAGAGAGGTTGACGTGTGCTGACATCAGCGCTTCAGTCCAATACGAGCGTCGCACAGCTGGCGTCGAACCAGGGACGGGCAGGCGCTGCGCCGTTTTGCAATACTGGCCAGGTCAGTTGCCGCACCGGTGATGGATATGGTTCTTTTCACGAGTGATATGACTGACCGTACTGAAGAGCGACGACGGAAGAAAGCCGAGGACACGCGTTGGTGACGTCGGGGTCCCTAAACTCGTGAAACACAAAGTTTGAGCAGAAAGTTCGCGGAGCGCGCCGATTGGACGTCGGCGAAAAAAGCGCGAAGTCATCATTGTGATTGGCCGATCGGTGCGCTCCGTCAACTTCGGCGCCAAATTTGTGTTTGACGAGTTTAGGGACCCAGGCCGAGACAGAGGAAGAGCGTAAGCGTTGTTTGGCAGCTGCCGCAGAAACAAGGCGACGGAAGCGTGCAGCGGAAAGCAAAGAGGAAAGGCATTAATAAACGACAGAAAAGTGGTGAAAAACGAATGGCGAGGGGTCCTATTTATTAAAAAAAAGAAACTCAAATCAGTGTCTTGTTGAACTAATATACACGAGTGAGAAGTATTTTCAAAATCTCTTCAGCACTATTAGTTTCTTAGCATGGCCCGTAAGTGGGACAAGCTAGTGGGACTTGTAGAAGGAGCCAGAAAAATCGGTCACTGCACATGGAAAGTTCGAGCTTTCACCGATTGTGTACTAAGTCAGTTTTAGCGTCTAAAATTTTAAAGCTTTGTTCTCTTCCTTTTAAAAATAAGGGCAACAAATTTTCCAAAGTCAACGTCAGGCGTGTTCACAGACGATATTACCTTGTGACGTCATTCCCCGATAGGCGCAGGAAGAAGAAGACGCACTATACTGGAGAGTTTTAGTAGATCGTGTTTTCGGGCCGCGCTGTTCATAGCGGGAGCTAGCGCTGCCACTTCGATGCATGCTCCGAAGCGCGCGCCCGTAGTGGTAGCGGGCCTTTGAAAACGATCTACTAAAACTCCCTATTATCTGCTCGCTGCATCTATCGGGAGATGGCGCTACACGTGAATAGCGTCACTAATTCGGTGCTCTGCGTAGCACAACGTTAGCGCTCGACATTGACTTTGGTAAGGTTGCTACTCTAATGATTTTTGCTTTTTTTTTTTTTTTTTTTTTTTTACAGGAAGAGAGTTACGCCTAAATTTTCACATGGTAAAACCGACCTGCACAGTACATATTCGGCGAACCTTGAAACTTTCCATGCGCAGGCGCCGATTTTTTTGGCTCGTTTTTAAACGTCAGATGCGCTTGTGACATGCCCTATACTTCTTCCCATGCAACTTGAAAGATATGAAGTTCAGGCTCACCCATCAGCGCGAGTGCCCGATCCAACTCCTCCCTTAGTATTTCCAGCATCCTGCTCACGCCGGCTTGACCCTGCAATGTGTGTCACGAATCTGACGATATTCCACGCAGGCTCCATCCTATATCGTCCGTGCGGGAGGAACACGCATTTAATAAATCCCACGGATATCAGTGATATAGCGCAGAAGTGGAACTTGGCGCACGAACATTATCCGGGTCAGATCGTGCAAAAAGCAAAAAAATCGTACGCCTTTATTTTCGGCGAGAGGTATACGACGGTACAGCTTCAACTTAACTTGAGGAGCCACTTAGATTATCTGGTACGTCTTTTTTTTTTTCAAACGAAGTTGACATACCTGTACACGACGTAAAAATATTCAAACAAAGCTAGCATACTTCGTTCGAATCTTAGATAGAGTCAGAGCATAGCTTACGTTGTACGCCAGCCCCCAGAGGACGGGTCGTCCGACGAAGACCGCCCTGGCTCCCAGGGCCAGCGCCTTGACGACGTCCGTACCTCGACGCACGCCTCCGTCCACGTAGACCTCGACACGACCCCGAACCGCCCTCACGACTTCGGGGAGGGCTTCGATCTGCGCACCAAACGGGACACGGGGTGCAGTCCCTCATCCTCTCCGAATCCACGAGGACAACCCTCCGATCGCGATTTCCCTTCATAGTGGACCTCTGTTTCAGGAACGCCCGTCATCTAGTCACTGTTGCGCCAGTTATCCCATTCCCACATTGCTTTTATACGTTCTCTGAGCATGGATTGGACACGAGTGCTGCGGCAGCGTTTGGCAAGGACTCGAACACCGTCGAGGGCTTCGTGCTCAAGAACTGGCTACCGCCAATGTTGCTTGATGGGGCTTTGAAAAGGGTATATTTCTCTTGCATGCACTCGCAGCTGAAAATGACCGAATTGATAAGTGGAGAATCAGGGGAGGTCCTCGCTACAAAAAGACAGATAGGAAGAAATGTTCCCGCTTGCGTTCATCGGTGAAGAGCTTACAAAAGCTCTTATTGCTACTGCCTGGTGTGCTTATGACGAAGAAAAGATGATGTTGTCGCCGACTATAGTCGAACTCTGTCACGACCCAAAGCATGCAGAACTGGACAGCGCACGTCGTGTGTGGTCACAAGTGTGAGCCCATAGAGGGTGAAAATAAATGAAGGCGGTGAAAAGTCTTGTACGAGCTGCGATGTTATTACCACCGACATTTTGGGCAAATTTTGCATCCGTGTCTCGGTTGCGCACTGAATACACTTAAGTTCTACGGCTTTCCTTGGTCGCTTACGTCCAGTCAACAGCCAAGATCGCAGAGTGACGAGGACCATCAGACCCTCTTCTTAGCGGACGGGGCGTCCTTTTAGAAATAAAGTTTTAACGCGCACACCTATCCCTTAATAAGGGATACCTGATCAGATGAGTTTGCATCACTAACCTCAGTATTTGTTAAAATGCCGTGTGACCATTTTTTTATTTTTATTTTTAATACGTACAACACTGCATGGGCAGTTGATAGGGTTACGTTCTTTGGCGACGACTTTAGCGACGACCACCGCGTGCAGCTCATCGCATGCGTTCCTCATGTTTTATTTTCCTGATTTTTTAAATTTGCTTTATGAGTATTTTTTGTCCTGCATACCGTCTCCCTTTTCGTCATGAACATACCTTGTTTATCTTACTTCATCCGACGCATTTCAGCAACGGCAAACGTTTCACTCATATATTTAAGAGATTCATTTCCTATTGCCATCGGATGCAAAATTTACTAGCTAATTGTTTTTTTATATAAGAGTATGGTTGACACATACTGTTGACGGGACGCCATCCAGTTGTCGTCCACCATGGTTAGAAACCAAGATGGCCGAGACCCCGTGCTTGACAGCTTCCTCGGCGTCTTCGGCTGGAATGTTTGAAGCGTTCAAGAAAACTTCGGAAAAATTAGCAAAACCCGTTCACGACGTAACAACAAAAAGACACGACGACCGCCTACGCCGCAGTGTGCATACCTGAGGGCAACTTTTTGATTCAGTGAAGTCCAAGCTGTTTTAACGTGAAACGTTCTTTGGCTAGTGTGCTGGGCAATTCGTGAAGCCTTGACTGAAGTGAATGCTGGATAAAAGAGTGGCCGCGTCGGCTCGAAACTGATTATCATCGTTATCGGTTGGGAGAGGGAGAGTGGGCTGCTCGACGTTGAATGGTTAATGGGGAGGTCATGTGACCCAAGGGGTAAGCAAGGAAGGATGAGAGAGGCGTGGAGGAGGTCGACCACCTGTGCGCACTGAGGGAAAGAAGCTCGGGAGTATGGAAGGCTCTGGAAGATCGTTAGGTTTATCAGCCCGATTAGCGGTGGTATCGCTTCATTCTAGGAACAACTATCAAGAGATCATAGAACGCCTGGAATATGTATACATATGCCAGGCGTTATATCATCTGTCGATGAGCGCTGTAAACGTGGGCGTCTAGCATCTGGAAACTCAGACTATCTCTAAACGTTTTTGATGCAAGACCCTTTCAGGTATCCAACAATATTGCATAGCAATTCCCCATAAATTTTGTTTGAAATTTTCGTTTTAACCTTTTTTTTTTTAGTGTTGTTTTAAAAAGTATGAGTGTAGGGAAGGCGAATGAATTAAAATCTGTGCATCTTTCTCATCTCGTTGAGAAAACAAGAACACCTCCGCTGTGCCTTGCATAAGAGTACTTCTCGAATATACTACGAGTGCTCGCGAAAGAAAGAAAAATGGACAAAGAGAGAGATATTGAATGCATCTTTACATACAGGTAACAAGAAACTAGAGCTCGCTGTCTGACCCCTCCACGAAGTGGGGTGCCTGATCGTGCGTGTACGAGAGCACCCTAAAACGAAGCCTTCTTCTTAGTTTTTACAACTGTGTTGTAAAAACAGTATTCTTACACAAAAAAATTCAAGACACATCGGTGTTCTATTTCATTGCCTCGTTTGGTTGCATTCTTATACTGGGAAAGTCTGCAAAGCTCCGGGAAGCTCCTCTCAACCACAGGGCATTTGCGTCGCCTCTAGGAATTAAGATATCGCGGCTACGCTCTCCTTTTGTTGGTAGAGAGAATTCATCAAGAACCATGGCATAAGAAAGACATTTGGGCAATTACCCTCCATTCGATTGAGCTCGTAGGTAATGTTTCCAAAGCAGGCGTCTCTGTTTTTTGGCGCCATCTATCCGCGCGCAAAAAAAGTGCCAGACCCACAGAAGAAGGGCCCGATTGACGCAGTGCAGAGGTTGGGCTCTGTTCGAGTTTACCTATGGTTGGCAATCCTTTGTCCTTCGACCAATTTTCAGAACATCGCTTTACCTTAAGACCAGACGCAGCCTACGCTACCAGCTGATGGGACGAATCAGAAAACGTCAAAAGGGCACAATCATTGTGTTCGCCTTGTTTTTCTGCGTGGTCAATCATTGCTAACAGAGAAAGGCCCAGTGTCTTGCTCTTCTGACCCTGCTTGATTGGTCCCATTATCTTGTAACGTCGGCTGCGTCTTGACTTAATCTGAAATGAAGTCTAGTCTATCATGAGCGCAGCTTTGCCAGTTTCTTCCCTTCTAGAGCCGGTTTCTTCACATGATCACGCAATGCCGCTTCATCATGCGCATTCACCGATAGTTGTGCACGCTTTGGGTGTCCACACCACCAAAACTGATGCTTTATTGAGCCTGCGCTTTTTTTTTTAATCTTATTTTTGCAATGCCTTTTTCATTGGTGCACCGCGAGTTCGAAACTGTTGCTACGAAGAGCTTAATAAACGAAGTGCTTGGCAAGTCGCTAGAATTTAAATATTATTTCGCGGCCAATCAGATTGACGTAGCTAGGAATTTTATAAGAAACAACCTGCGTGTCTTAAAGCTATCAGTCACTATAGAGTCATCGACAGATTATAAATGCAAGGCGGGTTTAGATACGTTCTAACGCCTTGCTTCATAATTCCTTTTTCTGCGTTCTTATTGGCGAATACCGCTCTCGGGCTGGTTGCGGAGCGACCATAATACCATAAAGGACGCTCGAAACTTGCCAAATTCTCGATTTCTTAAGCTGTCTGTAGAGCCCTAGCTTTTGACATTATCTGACCACTCCCTTTGTTTTTGTCGCCGCGGATTGAAACATCCCCTGAATGTGCTTCTTACACCATGCGAAGTACTGAACACTCCGCCTGGCTCACAGAAGGCGACATTTTTGAAATGACAGAAAGAAGCGCGTGTGCACCTGTCAGAATCCCCTTCGCAATCACGGGCAACTTGCTGATGCTCTTGAGCCAGGTGACGTCATCCCAGGTCACGGAGGCATCGAGAACATCGCGATAAAGGCCATTCCAAGTTTCCGCACGGGGCATCCCGGGCGCGCCCAATACGGTGATAATGCTGGAGAAAAAACAACAACATAAATCGGTTCGAAAACTACATCAGGTCGCTTTGCGTTAGCGTTGTCCGTTAAATGATTCAGTAGTCTTTATCGAGACGTGAGTTTTTTCTCGGCATTGCCACGGATCTCAGACCTTAATTTATGGATGGTTGTTTGAGTCACTCATTTTATTCTCTTTTTGTTTTGTTTTTTAGCTAGAAAAAAAAACCAAAAAAAAAAACCGCCTTGTTGAATGTGTTCGCTGCGGGATAGTGGCCTGAAAGAAGGAAGAGACCTAGCTGGTTGAGTAAACGAAGAGAGAATGAGTTACTCGCAATATCACCCATGATATTGCGCTCACTCCAAAGCATTTTGTAAAATTGAACTCCTTCTAGACAAAAAAAATCAAGGGCATAGATCCAAATGAACAATATAAGCATTTTCGGTGAATGTGGGGTCTATTTTCGGTTCGTGCTTTGTCGACAGAGCGAGCATAGATATGCATCCGCGTCTAAATCCGCCACCAATGGGAAATACACTTCAGCTGAACATTCTTGCGAATCCTCATTACAATGGTCTCGGCATAACTTTCCGATGTCCGCGACATTATCGAAACAACATGCGTGTCAATCTGCGACCGCAGATCAACAGCGAGACAATTATCCTCAACAGCCTGGAGTATTTCAGCCGTGTTGCCTGAACCGTCAATCTCTTGTTAGTGAAAAGTGCCACAGGAACATTAAAGCCCACTTAAAGAACTGGGCTGAAAAATTTTTCCGGCACGGTAGTTTGGATTCCTCTATGCATATCCTTGAGACACTACTTATACTCCACTTCGCTAACATCTGCGGTGCTCACAAATGTATAGGTACGAGCGCGTAGCCTTGAGAAATGTCTTTTGTGCGCGAGTTATTCAAACAGAGCCTTCTACTGAGCGTAGCTCACACGCCCGTGCCTTCCTCCGCTCTGCAAACATTCGTTAGATGCAGTATACCTTCAGTGTACACATTGTAACCATGACACCATATACCAGCGGGAATACCTCACCCAGACATCCTGAAGCAGCAGGCTTTCGTTACAGAGCGTGGCGAGTACACTAGCGCCATCCCTTGGAAGGGAGTTCTTCGATACTTTCTATCACCCAGCGACGAGGAGAGTGTTCAGTATTCCCACTGGTGAGGTTCCAAAAATACACTGCTCGTGCATCATACAAAAAGACGCGGTGTTTGCTGCGGACATGATGACAAAATTATCCGCGCATCAAGAATGTTCAAAGCACATTTGCTTCATACATCTTCAAGCATGTCTGCAGACTGCCGGTTGTGTGATGTATGGGCAAGTGTGGCTTTAGACTCTTACCGAGGGGTCGTGCAGAACTTTTGCATCGTTTCCGAAGGTTGTGCGTCCGAACTACCTTCAGTGTCGCACACCGAGCTGACCACCAGTCAACCCACCTGTTGCTCGCTGCCTTTCTCATTTTTATCCAGAGTCCCGGCACGGGCACGTCCACGGTCATCACGAGTGCCTTGAAGCCCGCTTGTTCGGCGCGCTCCATGAGACTCCTGGTAAAGTCGCGGTCCTTGTAGATGGACAGCTGGAACCAGCGGAGCCCATCGGGAACCGCGCTCCGGACGTCTTCGATGGAGGTGCCACAAAAGGTGCTCAGAACCATTACGGTCCTCGCATTCTGTGCAGCTGGTAACGAAGACATCAAGAAGCAGTAAGGTTAGATCTTCAGTCACTCGCAAAATTTAAAGTGTTCACCCACGGCTGGACGGGAAAGAGGCCTTCCTCGCGGCCTTTGCTCTCGCTTAGCAACAATGGGATTTTTGGGCCGCGATCCCGGTACCCCTTCCAACACTAGCTGAAGTACACTCGAGATCTGTTCTGCCCACAGTGATTAAAAATGTGTTCTAATGTACTCATCTTACACGACCCTAGTGCGTTGATTAGTTTTTTTTTTTTTTTAAGTAATCGCTTGTTTATAGAAAACAGTTTTTTTTTTTTTTGAGAAGACGAAGAAAAAGAGGTGATCCGCGTAAGTCTCTGCAGGCAGGCGGCCTCAAGGTCCATGGCACTGAGTGGTCTGGAAATTGCTTCAATTCGGGCCCTGGAATGAATAAACCCGCATAAAAGGGGGGGGGGGGGGGGGGGGCTGGTGCCTGTTTATAAGGAGATACAGCGCCGTAGGGGGCGCTAAGAGTAACCGTACATGCTCTGCTTACTTAGCAGAGTATAACAACGGTTTCGAATTTGTTGCTTCAAGTATTGCGGGAAAAGTACGGAAGCACGCGATCGCGCGCTTGGTCGTCGTGGTCATTGTGTCGCCTGCTTGCTCAAGGCCACTTACGCACTTACGCATATCTAACACAGAATGTCCGAAGGTTTATGAAGCTTCCTACTCGCTATACCTCCGTGTAATATCGGCGTTTCGCGAGCGCAAGGCCAAATACACGTACCGCCTACAAACCCGGTGCTCCTCAAGGCGGCTTCCCCGCAAGCGCGAAAAACAAATTTGGCGTATGTGACCTCTTCTCCGCCAATCAGGAGTTGACAGCGAAAGAAAAAAAAAATAAAGAAGATACCCTCTTTCTGCCATTTAGTTACCCTAGGAGAGGTTAGAGCTCCACTTGAGCAGGAGTGAGGTCGCAGCGACCCAACCGTGATGCGGTGCTAGGGAGAAAATTTTCCCGTGTGATGGCCGCAAGAAAGTGATCTTTTTCACTCTAGCCCGACCCTGGTGCATCGAACCGAAAAGAAAACCGTACGCGGTGAGCAATTGCGGGAGAGGAGGAGATGAGGCGCGGTGAGAGAGGGTGATCACGCGTGCAGCAAAACTCCGTCGCCGCAGTTTCTCCTGGGTCCGGAGCAGACGCCATTTAAGCCGCGATTTCCCCGTCAGTTGGAACGCGAGAGAAAGCAACGTGCCCGTCGATGTATTTCCTCTCCCCTTTCTCCAAAGTCAAAGCAGTCATGGCTACGACGAGCAGATGACGCTGGCGTTCGCTGCGCCGAACGGCAGGCCCTGACGCCACTGCTCGCCCTGGGCGAAGGACGGACGACGGTCTTGCTCGCGCCGATTGTATAGTGAGGAGCGTGCAGAGACAAAGGCGCCTTGTCCCTGCACTACTATCCTACCAGACGAGCAAGCACGTGACAACAAAGGAGGAAGTCAAGGCCGAAATTTCCGCTCAGGAGCAGCTGCAGGGACTCCGTCGTGTACGTGATCACTCTCACCGGGCCTTATCTTCTCCCTCAACTTCTCGCTGCGTGCACATCGTCCAATACTCGTACTACTGTCGCGCTATCGTTTAAGATAAAACGGCAAAGTTTCAAAATGTAACGCTACCTAATTCGAAAATCATAGCAGATTTTTTAATTATTTTTTTAATGAAATGTTTGGTAGAAGATAGGTATTTTACGCACCTTACAAGTCCATCTGCTTCTTGCGCCCCTCGTTCGTTTGTTTCCCCTCGACTTCAACCAATGGGGGCGTGAGATTCACTGCATAGTCATCGCGCGATATATTTGCCTTGCCTGTGTTTCCCTTTGATTGGCGTGCCCCTGTTCGCGTTCCGATGCGTCCAAGACGCACTTTAGAGTACTTGCTCGCTGTGTTCTCTCTTTTAATAAACATTTTCAAAAGTTTTTTTTGTTGTTGTTTTATTAGCTTTCAACTTTGACTGCGTGACTCGAAACTTTGGCATTTTGTCCCAACCGCTGTCGCAACATTTGAGTGTAGTATGCGCCGCCAGTGTCGCTCGATTTTGTTACGAGTTTAAGCAATGGACAAATTTCTTTTTTTTTTCCTTTTTTTTCCTAATGACGGTGAACGAGCATAAAACGTGTCTTCAGCACCCTACCGTCCATCCTCTGCAACGCTTCAAAAGGTCGACTTCCGGTACATGCATCGTGGCCACCTGGGAGGGGCAATGGGGTACAGCGGGGCTTGGGCCGCCGGCGGGCGCCGCGAAGCAGCGTGTACGGGTGGGCCAAGTTAGTTAATATTTTTTTAATGAGCCATCCGCAGACTGTTGCCGCCAGCTGTGTTAGGGGGGGGGGGGGGGGGGGGAGGGGGCTACGCGCGCTCCATTGATACACCCGCTATCCCCCATTGTGCCTCCGAAAAATGCGACCCGCCGCATTCACTAGGAATGTCGCAAAGTTTTGTCGAACCTCAGATTCGACGTCAAACCTCGAGGTTCGACTGCTTCGACGAACCTTTGAACTTTTTTGCGAAGTTCGACGAAATTCGACTTATGGACAGTGTAGCGTGGCTTCTACACGAAGGTTTCAAATTTTAAAAAACAAATCATTTAGAAAGTAGTTTATTTGGTCTTATTTTTTTTAATGATTTCGAATGTGTAAAAGATGTAAACGCAAAAATAGTTTTTTTAAGGGGGATTCACCCGCTCGTCCCTCAATGGACAAATATCGCTACACAAACCTGAGTTACTGATTTTTTTTAAAGATCATTATGAAGGCCTTAGATTTTCCTTTGAATACGCTAGAGGTTTTGATTGAAATCCATAAAAATGACCGTTTTGATCGATTTGAGCGCATTTGAAGGCAATTTTAAAATTAAAATTACTTAGAAGATAAAAGGGACGAAACGAATGGTTATACGTACTAGGGTGTTTGTGTAAATAAGTTTGACAGGAGAAATTTCGCTCGATCTATTTCGAATAGGTTCAACGAAATGGCGACACCCAGCACCAAATGCCCCAATCCAGAGCATTTGTTTGTGGTGGTGTTTTCTCGAATTTGCACGGACGGCGGCTCGCGGCACACGTCGACTGACACCACCGAGATAAGTTTTGCCGGAGAATGGCCTCTAAACACTTTGTGCATACATTACATACATTACCGTGTTCCGCGTACCGCACTACCGGAGCCTTTGAAGCAAGCTTTTAAGCGCGCGCCCGGGTAATACTGCGACTGCTGGGCGCGCGCTGAAAAGCATGCTTCAAAGGCTCCGGAAGTGCGGTACGCTGAACACGGTAACGGCTTGATAAAGGTCCCCTCTGTTAGAACCACTGGTTTCTTTGAAACAGGCGACCCCAAAAATCCCTGAATGCAACAATGCGCGCGTTGCATTATGTGAGCTCTTTGGCCATAGAGGGGAGTGGCATGGTTTCGATTTCGATTGGTCCGTTGACGAAGTAGTGCATCTAAGCACTGCATAAAAATTAAGTCAGTGCTCGCTTGCATTGCATCCATTCAAGTTACTGAGAGCAACCGTTGAAACACAAACCTACAGCGGCTGTAAGTGCGTGCCTAGATTTGGCGAGGAGTTGGAGCACGACCGGCCTCGTACTATACCTTTCTGGCGGCCTGGCTACCACTCCAAAGTTCAGCATTAGCATGCAGGCAGCAGCGTAGCTAAGGGAGAAGGGGGAGGGGGGGGGGGGGGGGGCGCCCCCGAACATTTAGCCGACCCTATTAGCAATGTGCGCGACCAAAAGCGTCGCTGCGGTCAGCTTTCCACGATTGGCCAGACCATGGGCATATGAGCATTGTCAGATTGTCAACTTTGACGGTGTTAGTTCCGGTTGCGATGGGTTCTAGCTTCCACGGTGCTTTTTAAACACACCATCGAACTCGTGGTCGCACCCGGTGGTAAGTAGCCAGGGTAACAACTGGTGACATCACGGCGAGGCAAATCCCAGTCATGACGTCACGGATGACACCATTAGAGGGCGCCACCGAAATATCTCGGCGCTAATAAGGAGCATTCACTGGGCGCCATATTTGTGAGTGATGTCTAGAGCGCATGCTCTGAACGAGCCCACATTAATAGGCTGTTATGACCGGCAATCTTGAGGGTGCGGGATGCACGTTACAAAAGAGCTGTGGACGCTCGCCATCAGCACGCGCTCAACAGTCGTGCACACAGCTATGGCCGCCAGTGAATACTTCCTATAATATACACATGAATTTTGACCCCCCTCCCCTCTCCGCGCCCCAAATCATGGACATCCCAGCCACCTCAGCCCCCTCCCCCCTACCCCACCCACCCACCCCCCAAAAATAATTCCTCGCTACTCGACTGCATGCAGCATGTGGAAATCTCCTTACCAGCCGAGTTTTACGTTACATTTTAGGACATCCTCGCTGACAGACTGTAAACATGGGTCACCGTAATATACGTGTTTCAAATGCCGCGTGCCAAGTTGTTTCCTTGAACTCATTGCCGTGCGGCATTCGAAGCACGGACGTCACGGTGACTCGCGTTCGAATCTGAATGGAGACTGTCTTTTGAAGGATGCATAAGCGGTGTGACCCCGGCTTTAGTCCACCTCGTTATTTTTTTTCCTAGAGATGGGTGAAGTGCCGCCATCCTTCAGGCGGGGTCGTGTAATTCTCCTCCCGAAGGAACGTGGCTATCTGTCAAATCACCTTGCTGAACGAGGATTACAAGTTGGTGGAGTCTCTACTTATCTCGTGCCCGTGTTCAGTTTTGCCCCACTTGGTATGGCCAGTTCAGACATGTTCTTTGCGGGGAAGGAAAATTTTTCGTCCTTTTTTTCACACGCGACCTCTTCGTCTGTGTCAATTTCACCCATCTGTGGGGGCTTATGTTTCCCTTGATAAGGCAAATGGATTTAACAGGGTCCAACACCATTTCTCTGCTCGAGGTTCTGTGGGCGTTTAGCTTCCCGGACGTGTTCGTTTGTCTACTGCAGTTCTTTTACAGTGGGTTAACCAGTCATTTACAGGTAAATGGGTGGCTTCTTGCACTTCTTCCGGTCACGAGGGGAATCAGCCAGGGCTGCCTTTTGTCCCCCCTGCTGTATGTTCTCACCCTCGACCCGCTGCTTTATCGTTCTTGTGTCAGGCTTCCGGATAGCTCCCAAATAGGCACTAGGTGCGACGCCAGGAGGCGTCGCACCCAGTGCACATTTGTTGGAGATCGCATACTCGTGATGGCGGAGACCTTGTCTGGGTCCGGTACGTGCTATGCCCTTGGCGTTGACGACCAGACCCAGGAACTTGAGGTACGACACGCCAACCTGACACTGGGCGCGTTAAGCGTAACGCCCGCTTGCTGCAGTTTCTTGAGGACGGCGTCGAGTCCGGCGTCGTGCTGCGATCTGTCTCTGCCGAAAACGAGGATGTCGTCCACCATGTTGACACACCCGTCGAGGCCCTCGAGGATACGTGGCATCTGGCGTTGGAACACCTCTCGGGCTGAGGTGATGCAGAAGGGAAAGTGTCTGTAGCAGTAACGCCCAAAGGCCACGATAAACGTTGTATATTATTGGCTGGTTTCGGAAATGCTCTTGATAAAACCCCGACGTCGCATCGAGTTTCGAAAAGACGATGGCCCTCCTCAGTAGTCCCAGAAACTGGTAGATGGTCGGCATCAGGTGCCTCTCCCGGAGAACGACCTGATTCAACTTGGTTAGATCGACGCAGAGCTGATAACCACCCGCAGCCTTGGGTACCCTGACGAGGCCGGTGCACCACGCCGTATGTGTCTCAACACGACGGATGACGCCTTCCTTCTCCATATTGTCGAGTTTGTCTTTCACCACCCATCTGAGAGGAATTGAAATCCTTCTTGGTACGCTCAGCGAGAAGGGCACAGCTCCGGGTTTGATGCGGATGTGGTACACGTCCGGCATCTTACCAATTTCCGCGAATAGTGGAGCAGCGGCAGCAGGCGGCGTCGGAACGGACGGCGACGGAGTCGTCTGCAGCAGGTCGGCGTCGGTTACGGAGTCGACAACCCCGAGAGCGACTATCGCAGCGTTGCTTAGCAGAGGAGTGTCTACGCCGCCGACGACGTACGGCTTCTTGTGCACTGTCCGACCTCGCCATGCCAGGGTAGCCGGGAACGTCCCGAGAAGGTTGAGACGGCAGCGTCCCGGACCGACGAGTTGCTCGCCCCTGGGTTTGTCCAACGAGGCAGGACGTCCCGGAAAAAAGCGGTGGACGACAGAAACGTCCGCGCCGGAGTTCCCGTTGAACTGGAGGGGGCAGCCGTTGACGTGTACGACGACGTACCGGCCGGGCGCTTGCGGTGATTCCACGGAGTGCAACTGTATATGGCTGAGACGCTTCGTTTCCAAGCGTCAAACGGACGCTAAATGTCCCGTTTTTCGGCAACGGTTACTCGTAGCTCTCCTGACAGGACACTCGGAACGTGAGTGCGGTGCGTTGCCACAGTAGTCGCACGACACCTTCGATCCACGAGGCTGGCTGGGCCGTGGTGCCGGCTTCGAGAAAGTTCTCAAACTCTGGAGACGGGCGCCATCTTGGTTGGCTTTTTCGACTCAGCGTCAACGTTGAGGGCACTTGACTGCGAAGACGTTGTTTGAAGTTTTCTCTTGTTTTCCGCATCCTCGTGTTGGCGAAGCAGCATGAGCGCTTGTCGGAGCGTCAGCTTCGAATTCTGGCAAAGGTGATAGGACAGGCGCGGGTTTTTCAGCCCAACAACGAACCGGTCTCGTACAATCCGGTCCTCCACCACCGGGTCCGGATAGTCGCACTTTTTGACGAGTTTATGCAACGCAGTAAAGAACTCGTCGATGGTCTCGCCCGGCAACTGCCTGTGCTTGTGGAAGCGACTCGACTCGTACACCTAGTTGATGGGGTGCACGAAGTAGCCCGTGAGCTTTGCTGCGATGTCGGCATACGAGCTGCAGGCCTCGTCATCTGGCACGATGGACGAAGGGACCACGCGAGCTTGGGGACCCAGGCAGTATAGGACGGTGCGCACTTTGGTTTCTTCAGACACGGCGGACAGGCCCGATGCAAAAGAGTAATCTTCAAATTAATGGAGCCAGACAGGTCACTGGCTGGCTTCGTCGAACTTGAACGGCGGCAGAGCCCGGAGCGAGAAGGCAGAGGCTGCTGGCAGAAGCGGCATCGTGGAGTAACTTCCGACCATGCTTCGGACACCATGAAGTGGTCGCGTAACAGCCAGGCGCCAGAGCCCGTAAGCACGGGGCTCAGGCGCGAGCGGCCGGGGCGGCCGAGAGTGAGGAGACCCGCCAGCCTATAGTGTGCCAGTTGAAAAACGCCCCGCGTTTATTACGCACGGCGTTCATAAATACAATCATCACCGAAAAGTGGTGCCACAATTCAGATACAATTGGGTTGCTACATTAGTGCTCTCTACACCTTGAAGGGGCAACTGTAAACGCGAGATTCCTATGAAAGCCGACTTTACGAGCAGTCCGCATTGTTCCCCCGGATCGCCCGCATCCACAGCTGCCGCTTCGTTGGATGCAGGCGCATTGAAGGAACAGGCTTAAGCTGAGCTACAGTCAGCGACAACTTTTCTTGGCAGTGCAGTGGAGGGTGCAGGCACGCGTTCCCTCTCCCATTTTGAGCGCTGAATAAAGCTGTGCGCGGGCTCTCCTCCTCTTTACTGCATTGCCAAGAAATGTTGTCGCCGAGTTAGTTGGTTCAAACTTCAGCTAAGGCCAGCTGCACTAGAATAAACATACTCACCGCTGGAATAACAACTGATTTTTCTTTTTCCTCCTATTCTACTAGGAACCCCACACGAGGAAATATTCTCTTTTCTTCATGTTTTTCCTTCCTACTTCACCGAATATTTATGTCCCAAAGAGACCTTTTTTTCTTTCTTGTGTAGCGCGAGAGAAGCTGCACTAATGCATTCACCGCCTTTTTCTTCAATGGCAAGGGCCTCCAGGATTTCACGTCCCAGTTTTGTCCTGTTCCTTGCCACGATGTTTACATTGTAGAAGAGTGCTGAACATTGATATGCACGACATTGGGTTAAGAAATGTCCTCCTTCTGACAGATTTTTCACTAGCGTGCTCTCTCGTCCGATCGTTGATGCATCAGCCGGTTTGTCCAATGTAATTTCGGTCGTATCTCAGTGGAATCTGGTAGACTACCTCCTTCTCACACAGGGCGTATTGAAACTTGTGAACTGTTCCACAAGCCTCGATCCTGGTAGCGATTTGCGAGCAGGTCTCCAGGATCATCAAGCGCGGATTTTGTTGCACGTATAAAACTACAAAGGAAAAGAAAAACTCGACATGCGGTGGTGCTAGCGCCCTATGTTCATGGGATGACCCACGAGTTAAAAAAGGTTGCTGGACGGAAGGAGTTCAGGTGGTGTGTTCGGCTCCGAACAAAGCCTATTCCATGTCTCGCAGGGTTAAACAGGAGCGAAGCAGCAAAGAGAGGGTGTGTGGCACAGCTGAAAGAACATAGGCTAAGAGCGTTCCTCCCTATGGGTAGGACTACATAAACCCTTTCTTCTATGAGTGTACCTTGCGTCAGAATCGCAGCCAGCGCATCTTGCAGCGTGTCACATCGAGCGGTACGCGTCGCCAAGACGGACGCGTCTGCTGCTTTGCGGAGGCTCTAGTCGAGCTTCAACGTGTTTGCCGCTTGGGGTGGGTCGGGGTGCCACTAACAATGACGTCATAGGCCTTGTCTCCTATAGGTGGTATTGGCTGTATATACAAACACGTGACACTGACGTCACGGTGCTGCGGGGGCGCTGCTATTGCCAGGGGCACGCTTGGCGCGAATATGGTTCCTGCGCAGGTGCAATGCCCCTGCCTCGTGTGGGCTTGTTTGTAAACGGCGCGTTAGTCTATAGACTCACATGCCTGCGTCTTTATCTGCTGGACTGTATACATTCGTAAGATGGAGTATAAAAGATTGTCCACAATGAATACCTGCGCTCTAAACTAACCGTAAATATCGGCGCCTGCACATAAAGAGCTTTCACCGTATGTACATTTAGGCGGTGGACTTTGTGAATATATTCAAGGCGTAGCTCTCTTTATGCAAAAAATGAGACTAAAAAACTTGTCAAACTAAAAAACGTCTGACGTGTTCGCAAACGACGGGGTTAGTGATGATTGTAACGTATGGCGCCATCTTGGGTCCATATCACATGAGCGAATGACGTTTTACCGAACAACGGTCATTTGGGCGAATCCACGTTTTACCGAAAAACTGGGGCCTGTGTTAACCCACCTCCCCGCCTGCACTCAGACCGCTTCGCGGCGACAGTCTGCGGCGGCTCATTGCAAAAAATGTTAGCCCACCTGGCCCACCCGTGAACGCCGCTTCGCGGCGGCCGACCATTCGATAAAGGTACTTTCAATGAAAAGTAGGCGTTCCCTAAAAGGTTTTTCGGCGAACTGAGTGCCGCCCCACCATCTTCCGCTGGGCGCAGTGAGCTGAACACAGAGAGTGACATCTGCTTCCTGCACCTAGAGCGGGAAACGGAGCCACGAATGACAACCATCGCTAACTGTGCCGTCTGTGAGCGCGTCCTCTGTTGACCTTGGCAAGTTTGTTCGTCTCATCTTCCACAGAACGAGAGAAACGTCTTGAAGTTGCACCGAGTAATAGTCACCACCTAAATGCATATTCGGTGAAAGTTTCAAATTTCAACGTTCAGTCGCCGATTTACGGCTCGTTTGAAAGCGCAGGGGTTCATTGTGGAAGCTCTATATAACGAAGTCGGAAAATCTGTAGAATTACGAGAGAAAAAGATCCAGTGCGATACTCGGAGGAAGCCTTCTAAAAGTGTCTCGGTGACGGCAGCTTGCTCACCCTTTGCGGTAGCCACTTCACCATCCGGGTGGGCTCCCGTGTGAGCTGCTGTGGGCGAGATGCCCACGGGGAGGGAGAGCTTCTGGTCTCCGAGTAGGGTCACCTCCGTGTTCCTCACCGCGACGCCCATTAGCACCCGTGGACGCAGGCGTAACCTGTGCGCGCAAGTCCAGAAAAGTTACTGGCTATAAACCCTCGGTTGCTCGTGCGTGTATTCGCTACTTTAGGGTCACTACGCAACTCCAGCACAGGCGAGGCCTTCCAGCGGAAAAGATGTGAAAGGGAAAGCGTTGAGCTAGCGTCGCTCTGAGGGTGTAGCGAAAAATGGCGCGGCCTGGCGACGACTCGTGAAACGAAGGAGTAGCTTCAGCCCTATAAGCTCGCTGCGATATCCGTCAATCGTATCATATGCACATGCATTTTACCCCACAACTCTGTCACCCTCCGTACCCTAAATCATAACCCCCCCCCCCTCCACCACCACCATCACCAAATATATTCCTGGCTACGTCCCTAGTAAAGAGAAACACCGTTCTTTTTTGTGGGTAATGCTCCGCCACCTCATTTTGCCAGTGAACCCTGTATTACGATCGGAGTATGATACAGATCACGGTTTTCCATTGCTAAGCTGATCTTGAGTTGCCAAATAACAAGGCCAAAACTGGGATGTGCGACCGCTACAGATGCAAACTTCGTGTTCCACACCCATTCGTGGGCTCCTTTTTGGCAGGGTTTTATTTCAGAGAGGCTACACGCGACGATGTCCACGTCATTGAAGCATAAAATGCGGTCCAAGTTCCTCTGGGAAGCATCAACGCGAAGCAACACACAATACATCGTGCGTTTCCACTGCAAAGGCCACGGTGCGTGAGGAAGGGACGAATATTTATCTTTTAATAAGGCGCAAGCCTTACTTGCCTCATTACGCAAAAAGGCGTCGGCGTTGTGCCCGAAAGGTGGCCATAAAAGTACGTCATCAAGCGCGTGCCGCTCAAGACAAAGCGGATCCGCCTAAGAAATAAAACGCAAAGAAAAGCACAGCAACGGAGTTGCTTCGACACGGAAGCCGTGGAGCCGGCGGGGGCGCCGCTCCTGCGTAGTCGGGGAGCGTGATGTCAACGCCGGAGCGCCATGTGCAAACAGGAAGACGTGGCCCGCTGCTTGTTAAAACGTGCTACGTGTAGGAATGCTTTCCAATTCCTACACGTAAGCAGTCTTAAGTGTCTTCAGTGAAGTTTCAAACTTATAACGTAAAACTACGGTCCACAGAGAACCTATATATTAGATATGTTATCAGCTTGCTCCATTAAACTTGCGTGGTTTATACACAGTTTACAAAATAAAAAAATTGCCAGTGGGTCGCGTTCCCTGCAAACTCAATGCGGCTGTGTTTTTTTTTTTATTTTTTTCTTCTTTGCGTGGCGCCATATGTGGAGTTCCAAGAACCTTCCTGAAGCGGGGACAAAATGAGGTCGCCCAATCGGCACTCCTTTTCCCACCTGCCTACTATCATACACCCAGGTTCAGACATACAGGGGCGCTTTTCTCCATGAAACGAGCGCACTCCGGCAATACCTTCTCCAGGGTGAAACAAGGAGACGCCAGGCTCTTTAAATCCACCGGAAAATTCGGTTTCTTAAAGGGGCCCTCCGGAGCGTTCTGCGATGGTCTCTTTATGGCGGTAACCCAATCTACAGGCCCTAAGGATGCCAAATATCATAAAATTACGGTCATGTGCGGCGGATTTCCCTAATAAAATTGCTATCAAAGTCCCCGGCACGCTCCCCTTTCTAAGATGACCCCGGAAAACGGGAGGGGCATCTCTTTACGCGTCAGCCAATAGCAAGCGAAGGATTCCGGCGTCACTGCGCGTCACCAACGCGGCCTACCGCCGACCCATGGAGGAATCTTTCGAACACGCGCGGACCGTCGTCAAGGAACCCGGCCTTTCTGCTCGGCAGTCGTCGTTCGTCGCACCGCACCGTCGCGCTGCTACTGCAATACGCAGTCGCATCCCACAGATGACAAGGAAAAGTTTGACTCGTTGACGTGGAAGGATCGCAAAGCTGGCTTCGGAGTCCGGAGCCACGAGAAGAAGGAACACGTGTCCCGCAAACGCACGCCTGCAGACGCCCCGGGAAGCAGACAATCCGACGCATCACCCCATAGCAACAGGCTTGCGGGGAGAAAACATAGTTCGCTGGTTTTGGAGCGATAATTGTGGACTATGTTCCCCGCACCACAATCAGTTTACGTTTTTCTCAAACTCTAATTTACAACAAGCTTAAAAAATGTCGCAATAACAACGTTCGCATTCACCGCGAGATGCAGCATTTCCATTGGTCAAGTTTTAGCGATGTGCAGGGAATGGGGGATTGTCTTCCTAGAGAAAATAGTCCCGATATATTTCGACTGCCATCTGCTTAATAAATGGTTTTGTAATCTAAAACTTTGTATACATATTAACTTGCACCTACTACGCAATATAACAACATAAACAGACGATCGCAGAAATCTCCGGAGGGCCCCTTTAACCTATTGCGCTACGACTTTGTGCAGCGTTGCCCACAGATGGTGCTTTTTGTTTGTAAAATTTGCAAAGAGCGAACTTACCTGAGCAAAAGTAAAGAAAGAAAAAGGCTTAGCCCCTATGGAAACGCAGCGACGCCACCGGTGTGCAAACAACACGGCGTCGTTTCAATGGCTAATTTTGGCTTTTTTATAAAAATTTGACGTGACAGATATGTGCAAATGACTTCTAGTTACTTTTAATGACTTTTGGCCACTATTTTGAGTTATTTGATTGTGTCCACACTGAGTTGGCTTCATGTGGCTATTCTTGGCTATGTGATCATGTTTATAAATTATATGGCAGATTTGGAGTCCAATTGACTTCCGTGACTATCAATCACTATCAGTTACTACTTCGACTTATTTGCTGTGTGCAGACTGAGTTGGCTTCCAATGGCTACTATTGGCTATACATTCATATGTAAAGTTATATGGCAGATTCGGAGTTCAAATGACTTATACTGACTATTAATGACTGTTGGTAACAATTTTGAGTTATTTAATTGTGTGCGGGCTGAGTTGGCTTCCAATGGTTATTATTGGCTATAAAATAATATATATTTTTATTTTTATAGCAGATTCGTGGTTCAAATGACTTCTAGTTATTATCAATGGCTATTAGTCACTATTTCGACTTACCTGATTTGTGCAGAATGAGTTGGCCTAATGTGACTATTGTTGCGTATATGATTGTGGGGCTTGGGGTCCAAATGACTTCTGGTGTCTATCAGTCACTCTCAGTCACTAATTCGACTTATTTGATTTTATGCAGGCTCAGTTGGCTTCCAATGGCTACTATTGGCTATACAATCATATTTTTATTTGTATGGCAGATTAGGGGTCCAAATGACTTCTAGAGACTATCAATGGCTACTAGTCACTATTTCGACTTACCTGATTGTGTGCAGACTGATTTGGCTTCATATGGCTATTATTGGCTATATCATCATGTTTATAAATTATATGGCGGATTTGAGGTCCAAATGACTTCTAGTGACTATCAATGATGATCAGTCACTATTTTGACTTATTTGATTTTATGCAGGCCAAGTTGGCTTCCAATGGCTATTATTGGCTATAGGAATCTGTTATTGACCTGGTTGGCTTGAATTGCAAAAAATGGCTATTAGTGCTTATTGGTCACAATATTCTGCTATTCTATACTTATGAATGAAAATGGCTTCAAGTTGCTATTGTTAGCAATAGCATATAATCTTAACAATATCGCCTTAAATCGCTTCAGAATGAACATTAGTGACAATTAGTGACATAGTATTCATGATGTTTTGAATATGAATGGATTCAAGTGTCTACTATTATTGGCTATGGGCAGTTCTTGGCCGAATCGGCTTGAAATGGCTATACATGTCTATCAGCTGGAAACTTAAGCAATTGGAGCGTGTATAGATTTGAATGACTTCAACTGGATAATATTGGCTATAGGCATCTATTCTTGACTTGGTTGGCTTGGATTGGCTATTATTGGCTATAATCATCTGTTCCTGACTTGGGTGGCTTGAATTGGCTACAAATTGCTTAAAGTGACTAGTATTTATAATAAGCAGCTATATCTTTGTCTACAAACTGAAATGGCTTCATGCGGCTAGTTTTGGCTATTACCATCTATTTCTTACCAGACTGGCTTCAAATGGCTACGAATGGCTATCCGTGAATATAGTTGACAATTCTATGCTATTTTGGTGATTACGATTGCAAATGACTTTAAATGGGTATTATTGGCTATTAGCATGTTTTTTTGTTAGGTTGGCTTGAAATGGCTATACATGGCAATCATCAACTATTATTTACAATTTATGCACTTGGAGTCTGTATAGGTTCGAATGACTTCGACTGAATATTATTGGATATAGGCATCTATTCTTGACTTGGTTTGCTTGCATTGGCTATTATTGGCTATAATCATCTGTTCCTGACCTGGGCGGCTTGACTTGGCTACAAATGGCTTAAAGTGACTAGTATTTCTAATTAGCAGCTATTTCTTTGTCTACAAACTGAAATGGCTTCATGTGGCTAGTTTTGGCTATTACCATCTATTTTTTACCAGAGTGGCTTCAAATTGCTATGAATGGCTATTCGTGAAAATCTATTGAATGGCTATGGATAGCTATTCATGAATATCCATTGAATGGCTATGAATGACTATTCATGAATATCCACAATTATACTTGCTATAGCCATTGCTAGCCCATTGAAGCCAATCTGGTTAAAAATTAATGATAATAGCCAACAACAGCTATTGAAAGCCAGTCCGGTTAGTAAACACTAAAATTGCTCATAACTATCAATACTAGCCGCTACTAGCCATTTGCAGCTATTTCAAGCCAATTTAATAAAGAATAAATGCTTATAGTCAATGATAGCCGCTTGAAGCCAGTTTCGTCCATAAACAGTGAAATACCACAGAATTGTCAATTATACTCACTAATAGCCATTGCAAGCCATTTGAGGCGAACCTGGCCAGAAATAGATGCTGATAGCCAACAATAGTCAATAAAAGCCATTTCTGTTAGTAAACATGAAACCTGCTTATAAATATCAACACTAGTCAATACTAGCCCTTTGTAGCAATTTTAAGCCAATCTAAATGCTTACAGCCAGTAGTAGCCACTTGTAGCCAGTTTCATCCAAAAACACTGAAATAGCACATAATTGTCAATTATACTCACTAATAGCCATTGCAAGCCATTTGAATCAACACTAGTCACTACTAGACATTTGTAGCAATTTTAAGCCAATCTAAATGCTTATAGCCAGTAATAACCACTTGTAGCCAGTTTCATCCAAAAACACTGAAATAGCACACAATTGTCAATTATACTCACTAATAGCCATTGCTAGCCACTTGAAGCCAATCTGGTCAGAAATAGATGATAAAAGCCAACAATAGCCACTTAAAGCCATTACAGTTGGTAAACACAAAAATCGCTCATAACTATCAACAGTAGTCACTAATAGCCATTTGTAGCCAAATCAAGCCATTGCAATAAAAATAAATGCTTATAGCCAGTAATAGCCACTTGTGGCCATTTTCATCCATAAACACTGAAATATCCCATAACTGTCAATTATACTTACTAATAGCCATTGCTAGCCATTTGAAGCCAATCTGGTCAGAAATATATGCTAATAGCCAACAATAGCCACTTAAAGCCATTTCAGTTGGTAAACACAAAAATCGCTCATAACTATCAACACTAGCCACTAATAGCCATTTGTAGCCAAATCTTGCCATTGCAATAAAATTAAATGCTTATAGCCAGTTATAGCCACTTTGGCCATTTTAATCCATAAACACTGATATAGCACATAATTTGCAATTATACTCACTAATAGCCATTGCTAGCCGTTTGAAGCCAATCTGGCCAGAAATAGATGCTAATAGCCAACAACAGCCACTTCAAGTCGTTCCAGTTAGTAAACATTAAAACACGCATAATTATCAACATTATAGTCATTAATAACCATTTGTAGTCATTTCAATCAAATTTATCTAAAATTTGATGCACAAGCCAATAATACCCGCTTGAAGCCATACTCATTTTTAAGTACCCAAGTAGCACATAATTGTTTAATAATCTCACCAATATTCAGCAGCAGCCATTTCAATTCAATCTGGTGAAAAATAAATGCAAATAGCCAACATTATCCACTTGAAGCCATTTCATTTCGTAAATATAAAAATAGCTCAAGCAATAGTGATCTACAAATAGCGGTTTGTAGCCATTTGCAGTCAATCTATACGAAAATAGGTGCTTATAGCCAATGATAGCCACTTGAAGCCATTCTCATTCATAAACACTCAGACAGCAGATAATTGCTATTATACTGGCTAACAGCCATTAGTAGCCGTTGAGCCCAATCTGGTCAGAAATATATTCTAATCGCCAACAATAGCCCCCTGAAGTCATCACAGTTTATAAACAGAAATAGCTCAGTTTTCATTACTCATTAATATTTGTAGCCATATCTATCAAATATATATAAAAGTGGAGGTTGATAGCCAATAATAGCCAGTTGAAACCATATGCATTCACCAACGCCGAAATCGATAATTGTCAATTATCTTATCAATAGCCATTGGCAGCCATTTAAGGTCAATCTGGTCAAAGAAGATGCTAATAGCCAAGAAAAGCTACTTGAAGCCGTTCATAAGAGTAAGCAAACAAAAAAATCACATAATTATCAATCAATTCTAGGCACTTGGAGCCTGTTCAAGTCGGTCTCATAAAAAATTGATGCCTATTGCCGATTATGGTCACTTGGAGCCAAGGGCATCTAATAGGACGTTTCGGTACGAATAAAACAAATAAATCAACAAGCTCAGAATAGGTTAATAATTATTTAGATTGTACAAAATCGGCTATACAAATCCTGATTGGTCTATAGAACACACTGCATTTTGACAACGAGCTCGTTGATTTTGACATCACAATACCAAGAGGTCCAATATCACGAACTTATGCTCCCTATGCTCCATCAAAAAATGGGAAAATTTCATAGACTATCAATTTCACTAGTGAGTCAGACCCACTTGATTCATTTCCGGGGAAAGGGGCGAGTTGTCCACTCCATACCGCCAGGATCGCTTTCTACTTCCGTCTCCCATTTTACCCCGGAGTTTCCTGTATTATTCTCAACTGTATTTGGTGTCCCTTTCGCACTCGTTGTTTGTTGTTGGAGGTAAGGCCGCTCGTGACATTAAACAGAGCAACGCTGACGGCGACATACTATGGGACGGTTACCGAGGACGGCGAGCGGGAGACGATGGCGGCTGATGGTATTTTGGCCGTAAATAACGGTAGTTTTGGCCCAACGTTACTAAAACACTCAGATGGGAAACTCCCATAGAGACAACTTAGAAAAAGTGGCCCCAATCAGTCTCCGAGCACCGAGGTAATGACGAACACAACGCCACCATTTCTCCCGCAGCGGCCCCTCGAGGAACTGCACGTGACATCTATTTCGGCTTTAAGAACAGATACAGCGGTAGAAGTTACAGGGTGCCACGCCGGTCTCCCCGGCGGACGCGCCGCGTTCAAGTACCGAACTTAAAATGCACCTAGGGCGGGACGGCCCGCTGAGGCATGGTTGTATAAACACAAAATTAATTGTGCCGCAAAGCCCTGCAAACTAAAGATTTTAAAAACATAACGCGCCCCTCTTTTTGTACTAAACTCCAATAAATTTCATACAAAAAGAGTCTTTTTCGTTTGTTTTTACGCAAAAACAGGCTTTCAAAAAGCTCAAGGTGACCACAGTACAGACAAATGATAAAGAGTGGCGCTGTTGTCGCATTTAGCTCGGTCTCGGTGGACGCCAGCGGCCCAGGTTTCGACGGCGAGTTTCCCAACTGAGTGTTTTAGTAACGTTGTTTTGGCCCCTTCCCTAGCACACGTTCAGCTGTTAAAACGCGTCTGTTCTGCAAAAAAAAAAAAAAAAAACAGGGTGTTGTCATTGCTCTCGTGTGCATCAAGTAGACGATGGGAATCAAACTCGACCTTGAGCACAAACAGACTGGGTGCTCAAGGTGCTCAATTATTGATACTGGTAAATAAGTGACTATATTCTTTCGAAAACAACGAAGGCTATGCCTCTGAAATGAAGAAGCTCGTGTTCAGGCTCATTTTCCTTTATGCTACAACAATACAAACAATCATACAATAATAGCTATGAAAAGAAAACGTATTAACATTGGTATCCTAATAGTAGTTAGCACGGAATGCTATTTAGCGAGGAACGAACGACTTGCCATACTTAGGAGTAAGACAAGAACGAAGTAAACGCACGACTGTATGCACCAGGTGTGGAGTTTGTAAGGAAGAACAGCTCTTTTCCGGCAAAAATTTTCCATGCGGACTGTACACCGGGGGGGAATTATAGTCGTAAAAATACGTCGCTGGTAAAGATGCACAGTGCCTATAGCCCAGTCAAATAACGCCGATTTCCGCATATCCCACCGCCATGTTCAATATCAATTGCCCACAAAAGACACGAGGAGCATGTTAAGAAACGGGCACACACACACCTCATGAAAGCCGACTTGTTCTCCCGAAGCGTCTGCTCCTGCTCTGCACCACAGTTGTAGTAGACGAAGTACCGCGGATTCAGGCTGGCGTTTGCGAGGCGTTCAATGTCGTCCAGCGTCACCACGACGTCGTCATCCGCAGCAGCGAAGGTGACTTTCGTGGCGGGAGGCAGACCATTTCCTTCCTTCATGCTTCGAGGTTTTCGTCGAATCAGTTGAGACCAGCACGTCTATTATTCGGCACGTTCTCTTAATGCTTGAAGTTCCTGCAGGTGCGCGTACGAGTGCGCAGTGTGGACGTGGACCTTTGGATATGTGCGTGTGTTTGTGTGTGTGTGTCTGTGAGAGAGAAAGAGAGTATACGTGTATATGCTGCATATGTGTGTGCGAGCACATACATGACCTCGTCACCGTTTGCCTTTGCACTAGAATGCGTGGAGCGCGCATCCACCTGCTCACTAACGTCAAAATGGGAGAACCAAGTTTCAGTAACAAACAGTTCACTTTGTACAACGTGTCCCTCTACCAAAAAAGAAAAACCTGTTTTTTTTAATTTAAAGATGAACTACACGTATCGTTGAACGCCCATTCTCTCCTCAAAAGTTAGTGCTAGCCGTTCTAACCAGATACCAAAGCTTCAGAACTAATCCTCCTCTCATTCAAAAGTTACGTGATTTGATGAGGGTAAATTATGCTTTAAAGGCTGGAAAGTGTAGTTTGTGTGGAAAGGAAACACTTTCGATTCCTTGGGGCGACGGGTGAGGATGGTGGGTTTGTTTTTAATTAATCCCGATGTTGTTTGTTTAACAAAGGTAATGATTTCAGGAGAGGAGAAACGAAATGTCTGAATCCAGAGGTACTCATACATTCGATGTATATTTAAGGTTTTATATCAAGAAGGTATATTTTTTTTTGCGTGAGCTGTGAAATGAACGTTTCCAATAAAACGCAAAACGTTTTTTTTTTCTTTTTTTTTTTTGCAGTAATAATATTTGGTTAAGATTTGATTTTGTGGTCGTGCTCAAAAGAATATGGCAATAAGATATTTGTGATTTAGATAACGCGATTGATATATTTGTAGGTTTAATTTTTGGGGGAGAATGGCTCAACAACCTGCAAGCACAACAACAATTTTACGCAATTTGCTAACGACCTGGGGTATGTGTTGATCCCACAATACATTTTCCGAAGAGGTAATACCTGATATTTTATATCTTTTTACAAATTCAATCCGAATGGATTCAAAACGGAGAGTTTCACTTGTATTTACGTGTTTACTGAATGATTTGAATACAATTGCCTTTGTTTATGTTTCATTAATATATAGAGCATTTGTTTGCTACCACGAAAATTTAAATTTAAATAAATAAAATTAAAAAAAAATAAACAAATTAAAAAAATATAAAATATATATAAAAATTAAATATAAATTTTAATTTAATTTATTTTAATTTAGGATTTGAATTTAGTAGTGTAATGTAGGATTTTGGGCGATTTATTGACATTACTTTAGGTGGAAATCTTTTGGTCAAAGTGATGAAGAAGATGTATAAAATCTCAGTTGATAATCAGCGGTGTGTATGTCTCTGTTTCTCCCTGTCTGTGTTTTGTCCCTGTCGTTCTAGCTGACCGTTTACTTTTGCATTATGTACCAACTAGCTCAACTTCAGCCCGTTGTTAAATTTTTGTTTGGTTATTAAATCATCCGGATCCCCGTCACTGACGAGCAGACTGGTGTCATCCGCACAAAAGAAAAAAAAAAACATTTTCAGAATTGTTCACAAGATCATTCATATAAATATTAAAGAGCAACGGGCCCAAAATGCTACCTGTGGCACGCCGTACTGTGTCTGTAAGAGGGATGAAAATTTACCGTTGATGATTAGAGATTCTTTACGTTCACTTAAGTAAGAAGACAAGATGGAAAGTGATGGACCACGCATATCATACCTGAATAGTTTGTCAAGAAGTATTTTGTGATTCAGGCGTTGCTTTGCTAAAATTTATGAGTATCAGAAGTGTCAAACGTTTGTTTTCTATATACTGTAGTATGACTGTTTTGTTTCAATAAAAGAGCGAATTCGGTTGATTTTCCTTTTCTAAAACCAAATGGGGATTTTGAAATTACAAGGTTTTTGCGAAAAAAACCCTTTCAAGACGACAAAAATATTCTTTCCGAGTCCCTTAGAAGAAACAGGCAATACAGAAATGCTTATATAATTAGACAGAACATTTTTATCGCCACTGATATATGTCACAGACATTTTTGCAAGTTTAATTTTTGGTGAGAATTCTCCGCATGACAAACAAAAATTAAAAATGAGTACAATGCATGGCGTTATTATATGAAGGATAAATTTAATTGGTTTTATTTGAAGGTCGTCAATATTGCAAGTTTCGCGTTTTTTTAGGCTTATAAATACGCGAAACACTTCATGCTCGTTTGTCGGATTAAGAAACATAGTTTCGCTAATTCTCTGAGATATGTCGCTTACTGCAGCTTCGCAATATAAGCTCAAAGTCAAGTTTACAAAAAAAAAAAGAAAAGTAACACTCAGCTAGTGAGGCACCAGGCATCAATATTCTATAGACATGGAGTTCTCTGATAGAATTTGGTTGAGTACCGCGCAGGAGGATTTCATTTATTAATTTCCAGACGACATCTGGACGTTTTTGTGCACAGTCATTAAATAAAGTTTTGTGGAAGTTATATTTAGCTTTGTTGAGTTCCGATGTCAAAGCATTGCGATACTTTTTGAATACCATCAATTCATTAGGGTCCCTCGTAGTAGTGGATTGTTTTGTACAAGCGAGTTTTATATTTGCATACCGTGAAGACTAAAGTCCGGGAATTCAGAAAATGCAATTTGTTTGGGTAGTCCTCAGTGTTCCCTTTAAACTACCTAATGGAGAAAGCCGTAGAAGTAGGCACCTGAAAACTCAGAGTACCCCTGAACAGTATGATGCTGGAACGTTTACCGTATGAAACACAATTGCCTAGAAATTAGTCATATATAGTATTCCATAGTAAAGACCTATGTGCGTAGCTGTACACAGTACCACTATCTGCACACATCGTTTTATTCCATAAATGCGCATTTCGACCGCGTCACAGAGGTCCCCGTGCTGTGTGTCCACGCCTATATATATCTTACACCGTGATCGACTTTCACGGCCGCATATCGAGCTGACCGTGAATCAAGGTTCTTGTTGGACTGTTTGATCGAGCCAGTGGGCTTTGCTTTCTTCAAAGTTATCCAGTGTCCCGGCACGGCCGCGTTCACGATCAACAGGAGTGCCCTGTAGCACGCTTATTCGGAGCGTGCCACGAGATGACTGGTGAAATCACGATTCTTGTAGACGGACAACTGGAACCTGTGGAGCCCATCGCGCACCGTGCTCATAATCATTACGGCCCCGTATGCAGGGCAGCTCGTAACGAGAACATCGGCGGGCACTAATAGCCGACACTCTTAGAAAAAAGGGTGTCTATAGTCCTTCCTAAAGGAGGAACGGCCTTGTAACCTATGCTCCTACATTAAGGGAGAAACTTTCATCCCTAAAGCAGAGGAGCAAAAGTTCCTCCGTCGCCTGCATCTCATTATGGCGGCCCCGAATCGAACAAATCGAGCTCAATAAGGCTTAACGAGGACGCTACATCTCTTGTACGGGACGAGAGGAGCAGCAGATAAGAGTGTAACACGAGCTTTCCGGGAACTGTGTTTATTTCCGAAGCCGGCTTCCCCCAGCAGGCAAAGAGACTTCTGTTTCTAAAGCAGACACTCAGTCTTCTCGTCGTCAGCACTGCGATGTTAAGCACCGACAACCGATACCCAGTTACTTCGTGCACTTTACGTCTTACCTTTCCTATTCCTCGAGTAACAATTCCTTCGTCGACCGCAGATCACGGAGGGGATGGTAAACCAATACGCGGAACCAAAAGCCGCTCTCAAAAGAGCGAACTCGAAGCCGCTGTGTCACGGTAACCACAAATTATCGCATAGCGTGAAAGAAGGTTAAATCGCTTGCAATCAGATGGTAGGATCAAAAAGAGTAATTGCAAGTAGCTAGGCTAGGTGGCGCTAGGTAACACCCAATTCATGTTCAACACAAAAAATATTTTCATTTGCTTCCGCCACCATTGCCCTTCGGGATCTTCAGGAACCTTCATTATACCCAAACGCTACTCCCGAGCTCTGCGTTTCCGTCTTTTATTCTGGTCGTTTTGAACGTACGGAATTTCTCGATGACTGCCTAAGCAATGAAAAATATTCCCAGCATGTTGCTTTTTTTCCAGCAATGTCATACCTCTGAGAGTATTTTGAATGGCTCAGGGGATGAATCTCTTAATACAAATTAAATGCTCGATCATGCCGTAATTATTTGAAAGCCAATCAATCAAGCCGCTCCAATGCTCTTCGAAGCCATTCGTTTGTTTCCCCGCACGGCACGTCGTAGCAAATATTTATATCGTAGTGTTTGTTTATTCTATTTGTGCTGTTCGTGTGCGGCTGCAATTGCCGTCTTGAATTAATCTCTGTAGAGCGGATATTCACTCAGCTGGAAGTGATGCTTTACGGGCAGAGAAATCGTTTTTCGATCAACTTGAATGCAGTCAAAGGCACGACTTGCGGCAGGTGGTAAGTGTACGGAGCTACGCCGTGACGACGCCATTTGGAGGGAAGTTTCTTCAGTAACCATAGTATATTTAAACAGCAAAATAAAAGATAGCTTTTTTTTTGTTCATTTTACTTACCATTTTTGTCTGATGCTAAAATTTCAAACTGTAAACATACGTACTTTCGTCATAGCTTCATATTGTTCAGCCCTTTCCCCAGAGCGCAATCGCTCTCGGGGAGGAGACAACCGACAGTCTTTTAGCCACTGTACAATAGGAGCTAAGGTTCAGACCAGCGTTCCTACATGATTATCCGCACGTCGATCGACTGCACCTAATCCCTCAAGTGGTCTTAAACTCTTCAATGCAAAGCGGAATGCCAACCTGCGACACCCTGCCCCTTCCGATCACGGCCCGACCAGCGGCATCAATGTCCTACAGGTCATCTTGTTACACCACTGATACGCGAACACACAGTCACATCGGTGATAATTCCAGTATTCTGTTCAGAACGCACAACACTCCCACCGCGATGTTGCTGCCACGTTGCAGACACGCAGAAATACACGACCACGTTGATTGCCGGTTGGCACTCGGCATTGGAAAACAGAACCGAACTCAGCACAGAAGGAACCCAAGCACCCGGCAGC